ATTATTATTATTATTATAGTATTTGCAAATAACCATTTTAGAGCTATGGAATATTCCCCAAATCCATCACAGTCACGTTTTATCTGTACTAATCTTTCATTTAAGGTTAATTTGATCAAAAATCCCACAGACATTGTATGTGTGACCTTACAAAGTGTCAAGGACTGTCTATATACACTGTTGGTCTGTGTGAGGCTTCACAAAGAATCTAGTCCCTGAGTTGAGTTAGTTTAGCACTGAGTCTATTCTGTGTGCCCTGATAGCTCCCCTGGGAAGAGGTGCTGACAGCACGGCTGTGTGACAGTGACTCTTCAGCTGACAGCGTAGTCAGCCGAGAGACATTAAGGCAAAACCCATCGTTTGCATAATAAAAGTTTTCATTTTAGTTGTCTTGGCAACACATCTTATAGGTTGCACAATATTAAGATATATATTTATATATTTATGTATTTGTCTATTTCCCACCAGAAATTTCGGCCCTTAAAATTTTCATCTGCCGGAGAACTTTCCCCTGATACTGTCCAAAGGCTGTAGCTATATGCCGGCTAACCTAAACCTTGGTTGAACCGCAGTTTCTACCTTTCTACCGTAGACAAACCAAACACTGAGCTGCTATGTCGAGGCCTTTCAGGGTTTTTTTTCTTGTTTTGAAAGAATTTTAAAAAAAACACACTAGTAGGTCATCTCCCCTACTGCTCGCCCCTGTCTCCAGCATGTGAAAAAATCCAACAGGTTTGACAGCCTGTTGTGCATAGTAAGTGGTTGCTGAACGATGATCAGACCATCTCTGTTTGGGGGAGGAGTTTAATGAACTGTCAATTGGCACACAACTTCTGTAGCCACCCCAAAGAGTGTGTGGGTCAAAACTGCACCACACCACATACCATCAGGGGTCAGCACGAGCCAAGATTCACTGTAGATTTCTGTTTAAAGGTGCAGCTCAATTCTCTCTGTGCCTGTTTTCAGAGTCTGTAAGGCTTCTTGGAGAATCGGATACTTGCACGGGGAGCGTGGAGGTGAAGTTGGATCAGGGTTGGGCCTCAGTGTGTGAGGACGGATTTGATTCTGAGGCTCAAAAGGTGGTCTGCAGGGAGCTCGGCTGTGGGCCTCCAGGGTCTTTTAGGGGGACATTTAGAAAAGGAGAAGGAACGGTCTTATCCAAACAGCTCCAGTGTAAAGGCAACGAGTCTCGTCTTATGGACTGTGCCAGTTCGATCCACAGCAACTGCACACCAGCATCTGGAATTTCATGCTCTTGTAAGTATCTAAATATAATCTTTTTTAAGTGTTTTTTACAGCCTATGGGGAAACCTTAAAGCTGCTGTAGGTAGTAACCTTTATAAAAAAAGTGAGAAAGATTGATGTTTTTTTAAGTTTATGGTTGGATCACTGTTCCAGCCTGCAAAAAGGTTCAATAAAGGTGTCATATTCGCGTTTTCTCAGGCAAACCATATGCAGACTGCATGACGCAGTTTGAAAGCTCCCATTAAAAGCTGTGCATCGACTGTCTTCTCTCTGTCCAGATCTTCATGAGTTGAGACTGGTGGAAGGAGAAAATCACTGTGAAGGCACACTGGTGGGAAAGGAGAACGGAGAGTGGAGGCCCATGTCTG